AAATATTAAGTTATTCGCAGAAGATATGCGTCTGGTCCGGCATGGGACGTGGATTAGGCATCCGATAGTTACTGTCATAACCTAACCTAACCAAGCAAACTTGTTGATAGGCCTAATGAAAAAATTGAGTGAAGGTTAAATTCTGTTCATAAAATAAAATTTTAAATGCCAAAAATTCTAACAAAAGATGTTCAGTTTAGAAGAAATGGCATGCAAAGCGAAATCTTTTGACAAAAAGTTTAAAAGTTACCGATGAGATTCGATTCAGGTACCTCTTGCATATCAGCCAAGCACTCTATCCACTACACCACAAACACCGATGGCTAAACATCGTATCGTTGAGGTAGGGTAATTGCGTTCTGGGCCCCCACAACCCGGTGACGTCACTGCCGAATGCCTAATCCACGTCCGGTTACCGGATGCGTATTCTCTGTGTGAGTTATTTCAACCCTACTTGTTTAGAAAAACAAATAACTTAAATAGGTTTGGTCTGTGGATTAGTTTTAATTCAATAAGCTTGGTCCAAAAGGGAAATCTGGCCTTTAGGTTAGGGTAATGACTAAAGTTTGGTGTCAACTGTATTTGACGATCGGTAACAGACTAACTTATACAGAATAAACCAACGTCTTTTTTTAGAAATGTTAAGCTAGCCTAACTTATCTTACTTGTTATTAAGTTAGGCCTGTCATAAACTAAAATAAACTAATCTTACGCATCCTAACTGCCGCAGCACTGTGTAAAATATTCTTCTTAAAAAGATCGGTACCTTCCTGTTAAAGGGAACATTCATTATTATCGATGATTTTTATCTTGATATATCGATATTAACAAATTGAAACATATCAGCTGACAACTACGATATCTTCTTAAAAAGATCGGTACCTTCCTGTTAAAGGGAACATTCATTATTATCGATGATTTTTATCTTGATATATCGATATTAACAAATTGAAACATATCAGCTGACAACTACGATAAATAAATATAGGCTAGTTCAGTATCAACAAAGGAGGTAATTTGGCTGCACTTTACTTTAGGTCCTACACTCATTCGAATGAAAATATCGATTATTCGATTGTTTCATTCGATATATCGTTTGGTTAGTTAGGTAAGGTTAACCTAACCTAACTAACCAAACGATATATCGAATGAAACAAGATATCGATCGATATTTTCATTCGAATGAGTGCAGGACCTAAAGTAAAGTGCAGCTGGTAAGGTTTAAAAAAATATTTAAATGAAACTGTTATAAACTAACCTAACAAAACTAACAGTACTTTCCTGTTAAAGGGAACATTCATTATTATCGATGATTTTTTTCTCTCGATATATCGATATTTTTGATTTACGATCCAAAACAACAACAACAAATTGACAACTGATCTTGTTTAGGTTAAAATAGTCCATTATATGGATTAAGAAATGGAACTGTTCTAAGCTAACCTAACATACGGTAACCAACCAAACTTGCTGTACGATTTAAAAATTCTGTTTGATAACAGAAAAGGCAAGTTTAACACTGAGTTTTTAAATGTTACACGTTACACAGCAAGTTTGGTTAGTTATGTTATTTTTTAGAACAGTTTCATTTCATTATTGTTTGTTGATACTGAACAATATTTGTCGTAGTTGTTAGCTGATGTTTCAATTTGTTAATATTGATATATCGAGAAACAAATCATTGATAATAATGAATGTTCCCTTTAACAGGAAAGTACCAAACTAACAAACTCGCTGTAACATTTAAAAATTATGTTTAATATTCTCTACTTGCCTTTTCTGTTATGAAACGGACTGGTTGGTTATGTTAAGTTAGCTTATAGAACAGTTTAGTTTCTTAATCCATATAATAGACTATATTTTAGCCTAAACAAGATCAGTTGTCAATTTGTAATTAATTGTAAAGGAAAACAAAAATACTGATAAGAATCGAGAAAATCATGTTCCCTTTAAAAACAGGAAAGTACCAAAAGATCCAAGGCTTATGTAAAATGTTCGGCTGCACTTTACTTTAGGTCCTACACTCAATCGAATGAAAATATCGATCGACATATTGATTAATCGATTGTTTCATTCGATATATCATTTGGTTAGTCGAATGAGTGTAGGACCTAAAGTAAAGTGCAGCCAAATGTTCATATTAAAAAACATAACTTACAATCAAAATTCTAAGGTATCTTAAGCCTACGGTATCGCCTAAAAATGGAACCCGATGATACAATAAGTAGGAGCACAACAATCGGGTAGACTTCCATATCTGTTGGCACAAACAACCGAATGAAATTGTTGATCGATATATTGATTATTCGATATATGTAGCCTATGTAGCCTAGGCCTACCGGTAATGTATGATGAATGTATCGGATTATGTATGAATCGATGATTGATATATCAATTATTTCATTCGGTAACTTATATCAAGTTTGGTTAATTAGGTTAACCTAACCTAACTAAACTTAATCAAATGAAATCATCGATACGGTATATCAAGCAGTCTATACCGTAAATTGATATTTTGCATTCGAGCGAGTGTAGGACGTAAACTTAAGTGCAGCCTAAGTTTACAGCAGCTTAGGTTCGAACAATAATATTTCATCCGATAAAATATCATAGGCTAAGGCTAAATTGTCTGCGGGACTGCACCCTGAAGATAGGGTAGGTAACCTACTACAACACGTAGGCCTAAGCCTATTGGTACCTAATAACTTAGCTAGATGAACGTTAAATACATTACCTTTCTAGGCCTAGATAGGCTATTAACTTACCTATCTTTGTTTTTTTACTTGCTAGGGAGGCCTACGCTCTATGTCAGTGAATAATGCATAAAATCAGATTGTTAGTTAGACAAACAAAAGTAGGCCTAACTTGAAAGTATATTTGTAATGCAGCATTAGTAACACAAGCAAAAGATTTTAACATAACACTCACTGATATGCCATAAGATAGCTTAGCCTTTGTCAACAGACACACTTGACACATACACTTCACATGACACAGCACTTTCTCGCTTGAGTTTATATTTTTGAAATTCCCCTGTCCGTCTCACCACCAGCCTTTTTCCACTGGCTTGGTTTTAAGGGATCAATGTAGACATATGGGCCCAACTTTATGTCAACTCCAATGTCTTGATCTTCACTTATTGGTTATCTTAGCCTAGGCCTAGTCCTTACTTTGTTATATTGACCCTCGGCCTCAACAGCATTAGGCTATTATAAGTAGGCTAGGCCATTAGCTGTTCAAAGCAGTAGCAGGCTACCATTTTAATAGCCTATTACCGTTCAATAGGCCTAATTAGTGAAGTGCCTATAAGCTGGGTTGTCACATAGTCAACTTACAGTTCGATAAGACTAATTAAAATGTGTCAATAGGTACTACTTAGGCAAAATCCTGAAAATGGCCTTCCTGTTGTTGTTCTTGCGTCCATTGACACACGCGTCAACAACTATATAAGATACTTACAGGTACTAAGTTTACTTGTTGCATTGGTGTAGCCTAGAAAAAGTCAATTCGTCAATTGTTGTAGGTTAAACCACAGATAAAACATACTCGTTAAAGTGTTTAGGCTGAGTAGCTTGAGATTTGATTTAATAAGACACTGGTCACTGATTTGCATTCTTTTAAACATCGATTCGATACTACTAACTTAACACTTTAACCTCAAAGTAAAAGTCTGTTGTCTCCTAGCCCTAGCAGACTGCAGTTATATTTACTGATTCTGAATTCTGACTTCTGCTCTGCAGAGTGCAGGCAGACTACGAATTCCTGCTGAAGATATAATTTGAAAAACACTTTAAGAAATAATTATTGGCTTAAAAGCAGGCCTAAGGGGCATGGTGGAAGGAAAAAACATAGGTGTGCTATTCCCACATATTCTGACGTCACTCGTATTGCAAACAAAAGATCACCTGATTGTAACTGTCAAATTAGTAAGATTCAAGATTTATTGAGCCGTTCAGTTTATAACAATTGGCCAAGTCACTAACACTAAACTAAAATACAAAACAGAGATGCATTCCTCTTGATTCACAAAACAATGTCCAAAGAGCACATACAAATGTCCAAAGAGCACACCATGCATAATAGTATATGTATTTGTTTTGATTTGGTTGTTATTGTTTTTATTACAAAACAGTAACAATCAAATCAAAACAAATACATACTAATTTGACAGTTACAATCAGGTGATCTTTTGTTTGCAATCCAAGTGACGTCAGAATATGTGGGAATAGCACACCTATGTTTTTTCCTTCCACCATGCCTAAGGGGTACAATTTCTTTACTGGGCTTGGGCTTGGGCTAAGCTAATATCGATTGAAACTATCGATTCGATTACGATTAGTAACTTAAACCTTCAACGGTCAACGGCTTCGTCGACCGTAGCGTCGTGTAGTCGGACCAAACAATCGTAACCTCTAAACATGTAAAAATGTATTCTTTCATTAGAAATTCGATTGCAATAAATTTCTATATTAGTTTATATTTTTTTAACCACTACCAGTTATATATATTTTTTAAGTATTCTAGAAGTTGTTATAATGTGAATACCGTACAACTGTTACTCTATGAATAAAAGAGTTCATTGGCTAGTAGTTCTCTGTGTCTCAAGTAATCGACAAAATTGTTGCTCGTAAAATGTAAACAAAAAAAAGAAGAAAAAGGTAGCTCTTAATGTTATTCTTATGGGACAAAATTAAAATGGTTATTTAACGATATTTATTTATTTCAGCAAAAATTATCTCCAATAAACAATCCCACGCAAGCTAATATACTATAAAATCTTTGTGCAAAACATCAAGTTGATATACATAGTCATTGTCGAGTTATCGTTGTGCAATGAGATGCATTTTGTCATGTATGAGAATTCACTTCGTTCATTCAATAAATGGTCCTGGCTAAGAAACAGCTGGAGTCAGTAACAAAGCTGCAAAATACATCTCACGCCACTAATTTGTTATTTCTCTGTTTCACTGTACAGAAGATTACATTATCTGTTGTTTCAGAACGGTGCAGTAGTTGGGCCATCAGTCATGGCTCCCATCCTAATGTTGTCGTACCTGGGGATGGGCTACGGCGTCAGGACGGTGCCCTTTCAAGAGATCCTGATGAGGTTGAGTTTTCTGCGTCTCTCGCTGGTCGGAGTCGTGACGACTTTGTACTACCACGACCGAGCTCCCATGGAGTGTATCAACGACGTCCACCCTTACTGTCACTACCAGGACCCCTCGCTGCTGGTGCGGGACCTCGGCATGGGAGGGGAGGTAACATTGTACAACCTCCTCGGAATGTTTGGATACCTACTGCTATTCAGGTAATTATATGAGCTGAGCTAGCACCAATAAATATGTCAATTGATTGAAACTGTGACGCTCAAAACGTTTTCTTAGTTTTTTGCAAAATTAGACAACTGTTCAGGATCTAGCAATTTTTATATAGACTACCAAGTGTTTATGAGAACATGTTAAGTACATACATAACTCCCAGTACTATGGATTTTCCTTAATTCAACAATGTAACAATGTGAAGTGCCGCACCAAGCATTAGTGGTAATGAGGGAAATGGGGAATGTGTGAAAATGTAAAAATTACTTAATTGTTTAAGACTAATAATAATTTTTTTCAGACTTGCAGCGTACTTTGCTATGAGGTTCCGTCTCACCACTCAGCTACGAAGTCACATCATCACCTATGTTCACAAAATCATCAAGCAGAGATAGTGGACACTATCACCGTTCTCCAGTACTTGAGTACTTTGTTCAGCACTCGAGGACTTTGCTTGCTACTTGAGTACTTCATACCGGGCAAGACTATTAATGCCTGTTGTCCCATGTGTACAGCCATTCATCCTCATGTTTCCTTATATTCTTTATTTATTGACATCATCTATCTTATATTTTATACAAGTACTTAAAAATCAAAATATAATATGTAATATATGTAATATAAAATCACCCCTAGTGCCTGTATTTGTTTCTGTAGTGATTACTGTAGAAAATGTCTATGTCTATACTATTTCACTTAAATGTATTAAATGTGAAATGTTTTATTAATTTAACTGTTGCATATTGCATTATCAATTTAATTTAAGCTTTATTTGGTGTATTTTGTTGTTCTCTTACAGCTTTTGATAAATGTACTCAATCAAATGCAAATAAATCTTCAAATACATTACACCATTATTAAATTAAAATCTAGTAACAAAATCAAACTTTGCTTTTTCCTATCTGTTTTTACTTGTACTCATTTCAACAAACCATGATATTATTTTTTACATCAAAGATCATCAGACTGTTTTGTACAAAGTCACTGTTAGTATTAATTTAGTTATAGAACTTATTGTTGTTGCTAATAAAAAAACTACTAAGTCTTCCTACATCAAGGTACAGACGATTTGTACAATAAGTAGTTATTTAAGGATTTTTATATGTATTGTAATTAATAAATATTACATAAGACATATTTTATTTTGTTGGCCATTAGTCAACTTAGTTTTATTACTTTCCTAACTACAATTTTGTCCACCAAAATTAATGCCATTAATTTTTATGGAACCAATGTTGAATTATTGGTGGATAATTCCTGAAATTTTACAAATTTACTGAAGTTTTCGGATTGGGTAGAAAAGATTTAAAATATTAACATATACATAACAATATATTTGACTAATATTTCAACTAAATATTTCCAGCCAGTGAATATGAAAGCTACACAAGTAAATTGCTGTTATCAAGAAATACAAAACCAAAAAGACGCAAATAGCTTAAATATGTAATAAACAATGAAATATAAGTTTACAAACAAATATGAAAAAGTAGGCTACCTAAATAAAATATTAATATAGACACTTAAAAGCTATGGTTTGAATATTTTGTTTAAAAGTTATGTAAGCTCAAGTCCCCATCACCAACAAGGAACTATCAAAAAAACAATTTATGTACATGAAAGGGTTTCTGGATCTCTCATCATTGTTTTCTGTTTGTTGTGTATGACATTTAAAATATTACGATTTTATAAGTTTTTTTTACTTGAACCTTTAAAACTTATGGTTTTATTTTAGAAAACTGAGTCTATAAAGTTTTTGAGCTATGAATTTCCGTGAGAGTCAGGTTAATTCTATTTAATTTATGAAAAATAAAATATCTTTGAACCTGAAGATAATTGTACAAATACTACTACAATATATACATTAGATATGAATTAGCTACAAGTTCCTAAACAATTGTCTAGTTGTCAACTAGATTCAGTATGATGTTTATTTATTTATTATTCATTCAACGGTAACACCATTTTTACATTCGAATGTACATTAAAATAGGATAAAATCACTTTATAAACATAGCATAATTAGGTAATAAAATATGAGCAACAATAAGAATATTAGAAAGCAGGCATGACATGCAAAAGACATTTAACCAGTAGCCTATAAAAGAAAACAAAAATACATTACATAGACTGAATCACTTCAAAAGTATGACATACATATAACATTTTCGGGATGTAAACTAACTGTTGGACTGGCCTTGTATTCGTTGAATCTGTTGTGTAAGTAGTGTTGTCAGTTGACCCTCGGGTATGTTAGCCGCCCAAGCAGGTATGGCAGACGGAGGTAAAGTAAACCCAACCATGGCAGCACGCACCTGTAACCAGATTCCCAGAATTTTAAAACATTGTGTTTGTTTAAACTGTTATGTGTGTATGCCTGTAGGCATAATAACTTGCATAAAAACGTTCAAATTTTGACAAACTTTGAATATTACATGTTAACTAACTTCTATTTGAATGTATTTGTTAGGCCTTGGGTAGGATACAAGCAGTGAGCGGCAAGCAGCGCAGCTCTGACATTGGGCCTCATTTACTTGCGTGTAAGTTGTTAAAAGTGCCCGCGATACGTCTGAGCAGTGAGCGACGGTAAGCGGAGTCCCCAAGTGCCATTCATTGTATCAAGTCCAGACCGATTTCGGGCAAAACGCAGCTTGCCCTTCAGACGAATCTTGCTTGTTTTTTTGTAAACCATGCGGTGCTGTTGTAAACCTGCCCTTATTTTTCAATCTCTTTCTCAATCTGTTGAAATTGTGGTAAAAAGTAGAGATGGACATCTTAGTGTATTGAAAGAACCTATCACCGTAGTTCCTAACAACTTCAGAATAAGATCGTAATGTGCCTTAAACATCCTTCTCCTTTTGTTAATCGGTTGTACCATCATTGTCTTCTACCTTATTTATTAAAACTAAGTTGTTCTTTGACAGACTATTGTCAGATAATAAAAATAGATGCAATACGTCCTCCAGATCTGCACAATTTGACATCTCAAACTACATCAAAAGATCAACCACCACACTACACCATGTTAATGGTATTTTTCATTTCTCAATTGCGAATCATTAGTGTTAGCATGCATTCATAAAGCATGACCAAATAGTAAGATGTAAAACTTACAGCATGTTAATAGTATTAATTAATCCACAAATTGTCATGCATGTAAGTGATTGTACAAATGGCGATTTTGCCGTAAACAAATAAATAAATACAATGAAAACGGAGAAAATTCTATGAGATTCAGGAAAATTACCACTTGTAACACAGCCACCACCCTCCCAATCAGTCGATCGACGCCCACCGCTCGTACTCGAGGCCTTAAGCAGCCCAATTCAACCATGAGAGGGAGTTATCTAACCCAATAGACTTTATACATGACTTTTGGATGAGGGAATTCATCAATTGAGGAAAAATTCTCCTTGTCAAGAAAACCAATCAGTTTTGTTTTCTGGACAGTTGGGGCTTAAAAGGTGGGCCCCAACACACTATAGACACTGGTCAATTATAAAGGCCGCTTCGTTAACCTGTCCTTGGCACAACAATTTTAGCTGTGTTCCGTGAATGACAAGGCAAACATGTAAATTGGACGGTGCTTGCTATCAACAAGCAATAGTTGTAAGCTTGAGACCTTATTTCAAGGGGTTTACCCAAGAACATTTGTTCTACTACAGTGTTATTAGCACTTCAAAATAGCTCTCTATGTGTTATATTAATTTAGATTCAACCTTTCAGCTTAAGAGATGCAAAAAACATATCAAAGAGCACGATAAATCACCCGGCATCACAAAAGAAGACAAAAGACAAAAAAGATTGTGAATCAATATTGTCCATACATTGCAGAGGGTTTGGGACGGCACTATTTGACCAGTGTGGATGCCTAATTTTGAAGTACATAATAGTTAGAGCTATATTTGTAAAAAATTAGATGCCGGAACTGTAACCTATTTAATGTGATTTGTACATATTTATGCCAATATTTTTATCTTACCGAAAGAGAGGTACCATAAATCCGTTCCGCCGCGTTTCCCCGCAAATCGAGCACTGGTAATAGTTATCAATGCCGTTAGAACAAACACATTATCTTGACAGTGTAACACCAACCCCCATTTCATCCTCGCTAATTAATACATTCAATCCTACAGTCACCAAAACTGTTTGACTGGATCCGTTTGTTTTTGACTGAATACTTTCAACTAAGATTTTTCGACATTTTTGTGAAGAACTCAGAATGAAATCTCAACCTACCTGATCACAATCCACAGCCAAATCCGGCCTCGATGTAGCAGTTGAGTAAAGAAGGTCTACTTCTTGTACCTCACTTGTTCTTTGAACCTTGGCAAAACAATCGTTTTATCAGCTATGTTACCTACATTCTTTTTTAAAATACTAAATAACTTTACGTATTGATGTAAAATTAGTAAGTACCGTAACCAATTACCTGGATAATGAAGGACAGCATAAAATTCAATTTAGAACATTCAAAATGTTAGTTTAAGAGACAGAGAAATATATTTATCCTTTTGTATTTTTCTTTTACATGTTTTTCTTTTTAAATGAGAATATGTCATAAATATACTTTTTCATACAAATCTTACATCTGAATTTTTGTAGTGCCAATTAGCACAATATTGACTATTAATTTTGTTCAAGACACAAATATTGGTTATTAGCATTTAGCAACCCAAGGGCTAAATGTAAACTTTTAAGAATAAATTATGGTGATTCAGGAAGCTAAACATAAAATGTCTTAAAAACAGGGTTCCTAACCAAGCAGTTTCGTTGTACCAAGGCCACACTAAAAAAACAGGCCGTAATGCTCGTCAAGCATGACATCACAATAGAACATGGCAATGACGTAATTAAGGTTATATTTTTGTTTTCCATGAAAAGATTAAAACAAGCAGCTGATCACAAACGGCAAAAAATATATCATATAATCTAATAACATAAAATATATATAGTCTTTGCCGTCTTCTATCGTGACGTCATGCTAGACGAGCATTACGGCCTGTTTTTTTAGTGTGGCCTTGGTTGTACAGTGCACATGACAACTAAACCATGTGCACCATGGTCATGGTGGACATGACAGGGGGTTACATGATAAAATCACAAAGATTATACTATTACTACTTTTTAACAAGTCTTCAGCAGATAATTTTTTTTAATAATGGACACAAATAAAAGACCGGAAAATATGAGTACTATATAAGTAATAGGTAAGTATTACAAAATGAAAATACAATTTGATAACACTGCTCCACATTTATAAATTAAGGCTATTATATATTGTCACTTGTCAGCAAGTGCTCACATAAAATTAAAACTATGTTATATTTGAGATTTAGGATTTTAAACAGATATGACAGCAGGATAGGTTCTGAGCCCAGATGAATAAATGTTATTCTACCATCAATCTATGATGCGGTCGAACAAAGATCCAGTATAAATAAACCAGGTCAGGCTGGTTCCATAAAAAAAACTCCTTTAAAAAATGTCAATGTCAATGACAAATTTTTGTTCATTCTTTTAGTTATTTATTGATCTTAGTCCTTGGTTGGGCCTATTCTTTCTTTTATGAATCAAATATGTTTTAAACTTACCACAACTTGTGAAGTGGAGGGTAGGCCTACATCAGCCTGAGTGTTGACGTTTGCAGAAGCAGTTAGGCCTAATTCATTAGTTGGCGCTGAGTCACTGTCACTCTCATTTTCCTGCAAAAAATTAACGGTATAGGTAACTTTGCTGTGAGAACAGTTTAATTCATAACACCTGTTAATTATAATCATATGTTTATTTGTTATTCTATGTTTGAAAAAGGTATGGTAAATAAAGTACTGTACAGTAAGTAGATTTAGAGTTATGACAGTCCCTATCCATGTGAGACAGCGTAAAACATGTTGATACTTAACGATAACTTATAACTGGGACGGGTGGCGTCGTCCTGTAATCCAGCTACTAGGAGGTCACGAATTGTGGATATTTATAGGCATGCACTGTGGATGCGATACTCCTTTGTGTGGATTAAAGTCCGCACGGGTGAGTACTACGACTATCCGGGCAGTACTATCCTGATAATTAGACCAATTCGTAATTACCAAGGCAAAAATGTGGTTCGGATTCCACTATAAACTGTAGGTCCCT